ATAGTCAAAAAGACAGGTCGGTTCAGCGATTCCGGCAAATTGAGAGGGAGGGTGGGCGCAAGGTAAACAAACAGGGCACACGAGGAAGTGAGATACGAGGCCAGAAGGCAGGTTGATATAACAGGACAGAAGAAGGAAGAGTAGCTCAACCATTTGTGGGAATATTCTACTTCTGTCAGTCCTTCATCACCTTAAATGAAATTGGGTGAATACATCTTATAACTGATTTACTGGTAGTCACGACAAATAATAACTAATTCGAAATATATTTTTCTTGCCTAAATCGTCTTGTTTTGTCTCATCTCGTCTCGTCGTCTAGCCAATGCGAGTGCGTCTCCTTGTCGGCATGCTCTGTCTCCATAGTCTGTGCTCGTCGCCGACAGCAAATGCTGTCTGCCCAACCGACGAACCTGTCACCTGCGCAGCAGTCCGGACGACCGGCTCCGCGGCGGATCTCCACGACGACACTGGCGAGCTGTCCGAGCCCCAGCGGTGCATCCAGTTGGCCTCGATCACTCGCGTTTCTGCTTCCCCTTCTGGTGAGTACCGGTAGCGCAGGTTGTTAAGGTCGCGATCTGCCGTTCTGGGTGGGGCTTCTTCCATCCAGACCGGACGATCGACGGAGCGGAGAAGTTGTGCCCTCGGTTTCCAGAGGCGCACCAACAAGAGAGCACTCGATGGCTGGAAACAGCTGGTCGTTAAGATGGACATGCAGTTGACTAGAATCTGTTTGCACAGGTCGGGGAACTGGCCCGACCTGTCTTGCATTTAACTAATGTTAAAATGGGTTGATCTCGTTCTCGCAACTTGGTCTTGTTGTCAGGGCATCTAGTCCGAAGTCGTCGGCCATAATAGTTGTCATGATTCCCAGCATCGGACAGTGGAATTGGTACATTCTCAAACGTTTCGTCGGCATCGTAGTCAAAGTGACAGGTGAAGTCAATCCTCGACAAACGTTCTGCCAAAAACGGTTACACTATCACTCCTCTTTCTGTCCTGGTCTATCTATCTACCCTTTATCCTCTTATCCCACTGCCGCCCTATCACAACTCCTCACTTTTTACATTCCACTCGTCAATATGTGTGTCCTTTTGTGGCAATTCTAGTGTGGCCCATCACACTTGCTATCTACCCCGACCCCTCTCTTTCGATCGGCTTTTCCGACTCGGGCCGTGGATGCGTTCCTTATCTTTCTGATTGATACAAGAAATCCACTTGAGATGCCGCATGCGACCAGGATTAGGGTTAGGCGCCCACAGTTTGCCCAGATAACATGGGTTTAGTCAAGCTAGATGACCCGTGAAGGGAAGGCCTGTTATCTGAAAGCATGGCAATCAGAGCTTAACCGCTGCTCAGTGAAGCGGCAGTGTACGTGATTTTAGAGTCTTGACAAATAGCGCCTGGAGTGAAATGCAAACAGGGACTGGAACTGAGTGAAATCGGTGAACCAGAAAGACAAGGAACGGATCTACGAGACAATGAAAGGATCCGGATTGGAGGCCCGAGTCGGATTAGCCGATCGAGTGAGAGTGGGTCGGGGTGAATAGAAAGTGTGATGAGTCCACACGAGATTTGCCACAAAAGGGCACACATTTTGGCGAGTGAAATGTAAACAAGTGAGAAGTTTTGATTTGGCGCCAGTGGGCTAAGAGGGTAAAGAGTGTATAGATCGACCAGGACAGAAAGAGGGGTGAGAGTGTAACCGTTTTCGGCAGAACGTTTGTCGAGGGATTGACTTGACTTGTCTCTTTGACGAGTTCGTATCTTGTTGCGAAGTGTGGCAAAACTCACTGATGCTGCTGACTACGATGCCGGCGAAACGTTTGAGAAGGTACCAAGTCGACTGTCTGATGCTGGGAATCATGACAACTACTACGGCAGACGACTTCGGACTAAGTGCGTTCTACCAAGTCGCCGT